GCCCAGGACACGGAGCTCCCCGGCAGGACACGGGTGTTTCTGTTCAGGGTGCGCAGCTCTCCCTAGCGGGTGCGCAGCTGCCCATGCAGGGCACAAAGAATTAATTGCAAGGAGACTTACAGGGTGCCGAGCTCATCGTGGGGGAGCAGAAGTCTCTGCACGGGTGTAGAGTGACTGGAATGGTGCTGAGCTCTCTGCAGCAGTGCAGGCTCAACAGTCCTGCCTATGCCCTGTGCTGGTGCTGCAGATGGGGGCACATGGACGTGTGTGTGTGTGTGGTGAGACACCGTGTTGCAGAGGTGCACGTGTGGCAAAGGGGCGGGCAGCCTTATACAAGATGGGCAGTGGCCTGGGGAGGTCTGTAGTAGGATAGGTCAATGCTTTGTGTTGTTTCACTTGAAGCAGCAGCTTGAGCTGTGTCATGTCATTCTGTGAGTACTTTGCTTCCTGCCGAGATTCTCCACAGATCTTGCACTCGGAAAATCAATATATTGTATACTAAAAAGGCTAGAGTCTCACAATGGTGCTTCAGCAGGGGATGGTCAGCATCCACATTTTTAACTGGCAGCAATATGTGCAGCCCAATGCTAGCATTTTATCAGCAAGTACAGGATTTTTTGGAATATATTTCTCTGACATGTTTTATTCCAGAGTTGCCTTTCAGGTGATTCCTGGCATCTCCAAGGTGCCTGTTCCAGTTGCTTGACTATAGTGCAGAATGCTGTATGGTACGGTCGCTCCTGTGTCCTGTGTGTATTGCAGATGTGTGCATAGTTTCTGCAGAGAAAAGGACTTCTTCTTTCTCCAGATTCCCTCTTGCCTGATATTCATTATCTTGTCGATCCTGGCATGTCTGTGGGACCTGGAGACAATGCTGAGATTTAGTTGCAGCTAATGCGTATGGGAGACGCAAGCCCATTTGGCTGGTGCTTCAGTTCCTGCAGTGTTTCTAGTTGGATCAGCATCCTGAGCACGCACTGGAAGGAACCACTTGGCAGCACACGGGGCTGATGGCTCATCCACATCTGAGAAAGCCCTTTCCAGTTCTGTGTTTCTATATCCATAATGCTCTTGTATGAGAAGACACTGAAACATGACCCAAGCATCTTGGTGCAGCTAAAGGAGACACACTCACATTGCAGTGATGCGAGGAGGGATGGGGAGATTAGTTTTCCCTCACTAGAACAAGGCACCACATCTCTGCTCCAGGAATAGAGACTATACCAAGTTTCCATGAGGAAGGAGAGAGCGTGGTATGCAGTCGTTCTTGGACCTACAGCCTCTGTTCATGGCTGTGGCGAGCACAGAGTCGTGAAGTCACCATGTCTTTATCGAGCCCTTGTTCAGAAGCCGCTGAGGTTTCTATGTCTGTGCCTCTCTTCGGAAGGCTTTTTTTGGGCCCAACTGCTGTGCTAGTAGGCCACTCTCTCCACATTTCTTGTTGTGTGTATTGATGGCCAGTTTATGAGCCCTCATTCTTGCTTGGTTTGGACTGGGGAGGCAGCTGCTTCCTACTGCTGCGCTGAGGCCAATGCAGCCTTTCCTTGCTGTGCTGTCCTCTGAGGACTACCTGGGAGAGCAGTGCGACATCCAAAGCCTGAGAGGAATGCAAGGCTCACCTCCATAACCAAAACGCTATGGAGCAGCACAGGTGGCCGGGCGCATGCTGCTCCCACCCCCTGGGCTGGCTGGTGCCTTGAGGAGGGGATTGCAGTGAGGAGCGCTTGCTGCCGCAGCTATCAATAGCTGTGCGTGCCCGGGGCTGGCGGGAGAGCATGGGCCAGCCTGACCCCAGGGCTAACACCAGTGAGACACGTAACAAGTAATGGGGCGCTTCGAGGAGAGGCCCAGCATGGCAAGGGACAAAACAGGAGGCGTTTCCCACCATGGGGTGCACTGTCTCCATAGTGCCAAGACTGTGCCTCCAAGTTAACAGGAGCCAAGTGAGCTTGGTTCCTTCCACTCCTGATCTGTGACCTTGGCCGTGTAGGTGCTTTTCACAGTTGTGAGCTGCACGATGGACTCTGCAACAGTGTGCGCCTGGGAAGTGGTCTGGGAAGGACAACAAGGTGCTCTGCTGTGCAGGAGAGCTGCACCTTGCAGCATGAGGCTCTTCAAAGTGCTTGGCACCGATGCTGCATCTGTGATGAACCTATCGATCCCACAACTGCAACACTGGAGGGCTGGACTTTGCCAGTCAACTGCTACTGGACGTGAATACAACACTGTGTGGTGAGATTTTGCACAGACCTTGGGCCAAAGGATCTTGGGGAATGTCTTAGTACATTGGTATTTATTGTATGAAAACGAGATATCTTGTGAAATTGTTGGACATTAAATTTAGCATCAGCACTGTGCAAAATGGTGGAAGAATTGATGTGGTGCATAAATCCTTAAGAAATAGTAATAGTTGGCATTGATTATACAATCACTGTATACTTTTGAGCAAGATTTTGATTGCTGAAAAGCAAAATCTTTGAGCAAAATTTTGATTACAAGATTTTTGATATTTCTTTGTCCTACTAGTGGTGATACGTTGACATCCTAGGAGGTTTGCGTCACTGTTTTATCCACATATAACACTTAAAAATTTTTCCTTGTTAATAAATCAGAACTTCATTAAAAGATGTTTGCATCCTGTGTTGAAGGATAAGGGATTAATCTTAAGCAGTGCTGTGATTAACTCTTTCTTAAAGACTACTAATGCTTTCTGTAAGATGCCTTGTAATCTCCTCCTTGAAGGAGGGTGCTCATGTGCTTCATGTCTAGTGGTATCAACCCCTGCTCCGACTTACTGCTGCCTGGCGGGGAGCGCTGTTCATCTCCTGGCTCATTGCAGAGCTCCTGCACTGAGCACTTCCCTCTCCATTTTATGTAACACATCCAAACCCTTCTGATGCATTTAGACTCATTGATTCTTTGCATGTTTTATGAATAAACATAGATTGTGGCAAAACACATATGATACTCCCGATAAACTAATGTGGCATTTTATGCTGTATTCCAATATTTAAAGACATTATCACGTCTTCTCTATCTGCATTATCTTTATGAATAGGTCAATCTCAAGCTATCAGCAGTAGCTCAAGTTCATTGTCCGATGTGGATTTTTTTCCAAAGATGTATGAGTAAGATAGGAAGGTTTAACTTCCACTGAGGGAAGTTTC